TCTCTCTCTCTCTCTCTCTCTCTCTCTCTCTCTCTCTCTCTCATGAAATACTCTTTGGTTTTTTTGTATTTTTCTCCCCCCGATACTTTCTTCCTAAGTCTCAGTACGGTACTTTGCTTCCCCCCAGCACCCCAGCTATTCTGTGAGTGAATTTTTTTGGCGTGTGCACACAAATTTACATGTTGATGTTCACATGCTTTAAGCAGTCATCCAGGGGGTTGTATTTGGGCCACTTTCATCTACCAAACTGAGGTGGTTGTAAACAGTAGTGGTCTCTGTGTTCTGTTTTGACAATTCAGCTGAAAATATAATAGTACAAAGCACTGATGTAATTCTGGAAGGAAGAGGGACTCCAAATTCAGGTATGGAAGAACAACAAACTAGCCACAAATACTAAATAATCAATGTATAATAAATAGCTATGGCTGGGTACATGATAACAACTTTGCATCTGCTGTCGTAAAGCAGAGCCAATAACTGAGAGTTCTCATACGTTAAGTTATATGAAATTGGACTGAGCCAGCTTGAAAAGTCAGGACCTTTTTTGAGTTCTGCATTTGAATGCAGAACACAAATCTGTGTGTTGATATTGTGGGGGGAAGGGGGCTACGCCCCTAAAAAAGCCACCAGTACAATTAACACGTGTCTGGTTCCTCATGCATACATCTGAAGTAGCGCAGGATGCCCATCACTGCAATCTGAGCATAATCTTAAGCATATTATAATGATAGAACTTAAGTACCACTATGATGATGACAGGTACCAGAAAGCACCCAAATGACTATTTTTCTCGTGTAATATTTGCCTCCTGTATGAACAGGGAGTGTCTTTAGAGAAAATAACTGATTTTATTTTTATTCCCCCTCTACAGTAAAACCTAAACTTCACACACATTTTTATTTTTCTGTGCATTTGGCTGCTGCCTTACCTAGCCTCTTTGCTGTTGCTTTTATACCACTTGTCATTTACTTTGGACAAAAATTTACAGTCTTGATATTTTTTAATGTTGGTTTTCAGCTACCTTGCAGGTGAAAACCACCTTCAGTTGGCTACTGAGTATCCACTACTTCTGTAGCAAAAGAACTGATTAATTCCTGCCATCAGGGAGGTTCTATTCTGGAACAAGAACCCCTTGAGCCCACACTTCTGACAAAATAAGAAGTAATGTAGATAAGCTAACACCCCTTCTTCTGTTGGTTAGAAATTCACTGGGTCTGTGTGGCGTGATAGCATGTGCTATGAAAAGGAAATTGATGATTCATGTCGTTTCAGATAAGAAATGTATATTTTAGTTCCTTAGAGAAATTAGTAGTTTCTGTACTAGGAAGCATGTTATCTAGTACTAAGAGCAGAGGACCCAGAATTGGAAGAATTAGGCTTTGTTTCTTGGTCTTTGGATATTAGTACAAACTCAGATAAGCTATTTACCCATTCTGTGCCTTGTTTTCCCCACTTCTACATATTCATGAGGCACTTTTGTGAGTCTTGGCAGTGTGCCGTAGATGCATAGAGTATCTACATTTTCAGATTTAATCATTCTAAAGTTAAAAACACAGACAGCTGAAATTACTTGGTATTTCATCTATTTTTAAAGCTCTTGTTCCAAATAAGTAAAACTGGAAAATCATTGCAACAGGTTGTTTCAAATGTACAATTTCATATGTGACCTGCAGGTGGCACGCACCAGCCTCCTGCCTGGCCTCCTAAAGACCATTGCTGCTAACAGGAAGATGCCTTTGCCTTTGAAACTCTTTGAAATCTCTGACATAGTAGTTAAAGATCCTTCCAAAGGTAAGATCAGCTTGTTTACACTTTTTTACTTCCCTTTGTAAAAAGGATTTCTTAACTCTTCCAGAAGTTTTTTTTTGTATCTCTTTTAAACAAGTCTGATGATGGGAATGCTTTATTTTTTTTTTAAATGTCTACCAGTTTAGTTCTTCTAGTCTGCATCCCGTAAGCAGACCACCCTGCATGAGAGGCAGCACAATGGTACTGTGCTAGCTGGTTCCACAAGGTGGTTCCAACAGTAGTTTAATTCCTGCTGGACACACTGCTTTTTGAAAAAAATCCAAGTAGATGCTGAAGTCCACCTGTAGAAAAAATGGGAGAGGAAAATTCTGAACTACCACAGTCTACTATATAAGAAGCCCAGGATACCACCATTAAATATGCACCATTTTTTCTTTGTGGGAGTTTAGTAAAATAATTATGAATAATTGATCTGAGAGAGAGATTTGGTGACCCATTACTTATTAGAGTAAAAAAGCTTGTTTTACAAGTGTGGGCTTTGCTAGCTAAGTAGTGGTGCTGTGTTCATTTTTCCCTGCATCCATGGTTTACTAGCAGATTTTTTCAAGATGATCAGGGCAGGTCCACATGCAAAAAAACCCCACATCACATGGTTGGTGTTAGACATCCCCCAAACATCTATATTACCATCTTGGGAAACATTAACGAGAGACATAAGCCTGTTTTTGTCAGCCTTAATTTTATTATATTTAAAATAGACAGAGCAACCAGTTCATATTTCATTGACTTCATTGACATTTTGCCTGGATGCAGGCATGTGTCTGCATGGAGTTGATTGCATGATCCCAGCCTTAGAAAGTACATTTTCATGTGGAAAATGCATAAAAATATCCTGAGCCCTAAGAGCACATTCCAAAAATCTAAACTTAAGCAAAAACAAACAAGCAAAAACCTTTCAAATCCAGTTACCAAGTCAGTTACCCTTTCCCACCAAGCCACCAGTTTAAAGGAAATCTGGGGAGATATATTTTTCTGGGGCAAATTCTAGTGAGATGTATTGCCACCCAGGGGCAAATTTTTGCTGTTTTACAGTTGCTGCTACCTTAATACAGCAGCAGAAATGGATTTGCTGTGTCATTATTTGGTTTCTGTTTTTAGTGCTCACATTTAAGCTATTCATTGTCTGCAAAACAAAGGTTTACATAAGGCATAAACAAGATGGCAAGTAAATTGCTCTGTTGATGGACTTAATTTGTGGATTACTAAGAAAAAAATTGCCAAGAAAAACAATCAGATTTAGAAAAGCATGCAGAATCTTTATTAAATACAGACAGTTTGGTGGTCCTAGCTCATTTCTTGCTGGGCAGCAAATCTGCCAACATGCACAAAATGTGGTACAGATGGCAAAAAGCTTTGTCATGCTTCATGAGGAGTTGGCCTGTTTACATTTCAGTAGAGAGAACATTTATTCCGGCTGCATGCAGCTCACTGGTTAAATAGATTACTGTTATTTCTTGTGTTCTAACTTCAGATCTTTTACTTACTTATACACAGAGTTGATTAACAATTATATAAAAGAACCTATTTCTATTGCACACTTGAAATTTACCAGGAATCACTGCTATAGATCACACACAAATTCTTTGAGGCAGTGACTTTGTATTCTTGTGCATTTGGACAATGCCCAGCATAATTTAGGTGTTACCAGAATATAAACAAAAAGCTGTTTTTGCTAGGATTTACAATATTTTTATTTAATGGGTGTTTCCCAAACTCACCATCAGGCCTGAAATCTAAACTTAATGCACAAATGGGAGGGAGAAAGGAAAGAAAAGAAAAATAATCAATAATTCTGCTGATGTTAAAAGATACAGGGCTGCCCTGCTTTCACATATGGAATGAGATTTCCTGTTAGAAGGCTTATGTCATCAGTCTGACTAATTTAATTTTATTATTTCATATTTTTGGTATGCAGAATGTCCAATTAATAATTTAAAAAGTATGGGTCAAAAGAGCACTGACATTAACAATATTTGAAGTAGCATCCTGTAGTCATTCATGTATGAACGAATGGAACTGGATAAGCGCATTGGTTTTTAATAAAAATATCTTCTTGCACATAACTCATTTACTAAAGTGACCAGAACACACTTATCCTCAGACATATCAGACATAAAAGTTAACTTACTAAATCAGCAAAATGTGTGCCAGATTTAATATGACTAAATAAAACCAAATCTGAGTAAAAACTTTCCTTCTCAACAGGGAGAGGGGAGAAGGGAGGAAGAATATAAAGGATTTAAGTATCAGTCGCATAGGACCGTGCACATTTGTATTTTCATCATATTGCTAAGTTGGTAAAATCATTCCTAGTGCTGTTTTTATACTAGTGCATCCTGTGTGACCACAGTAGCCTAATTGAAGAATTTATGCCATCCCTTACCATGTTGAAAAATTTCATTTCATTCGTCAGGCTGAAGGTGACCTCTGGCTAAGAGCCTTGTAGAAGTTTGCTAGTTGATAGTCTTTTAATGTGGTTGAGAACGTGGTCATGTATTGGGAATAGTGAACCCAGCTGAAGTCATGTTTGAATGCATTTTCACAGTCTGTCTTGTGGGCCTTTGTTTAATTGTATACAAAACATGGTGTTTTGTGAAATTAATTGCGAGAAGAGAATTAAATGGAGCAAGTGCCCTGTTTTAAACCCCAACACTATTTTTCTAGAGCCTCTCTAGGTTGCTAGAGGGCAGCATGCACCATTGTTTTTGCCTTGTATTACATTCTCTGGCTCACAGATTCCTAGCCAGCTGCCCATCCTTCAGATTGTTTTATAGCAGCATCTCTAGGCAGTGCTTTGAAGTCTGTGAAATACATATGTAATTCAGGCTGACATACTTGGCAGGCCTTTTAAAAAACAGAATTGTTTCATGGCATGACACAAGAGGTCTGTTAAATGAGTTATAAAGAACTGAGGTATTTCCAACCAACCCTAGTTTGACATAAAAATCCTAGTACGGCGGTTCCCGCTTGTTCCCCTCACCACCCATCCCCTCCTATCCCCCTTCCTACATATCGTGTACAGGGAATGAATTTTCTGTGATGTAATACATTAACTTTGTGAAGAACAGAGTTTTATGGCACTTAGAAAGCTTGGAAGGGATGAATGAAAGCAAATCTGGCTATTCCATAAAGGTTGGTAAAATGAGGTTCAAAATAAGAATTATCAGTCAATTTAAATATTTTGATCCTTTCATTCTTTTTGTTCAGAACAGCTATGAGGATGTCATGGGCTTTAGGAGTAATAATCAAGTAAAAATCTGACTGATTTCCATTATTCTTCTTGGTCTGTAAAAGAGGCTGTTTAAAAAAATGCATTCCAGAACAATTTCAGTGACATTCACAGTTTATCTCAGCTATGTTAGAGAGGTGGATTGGCAGTATTTAGGCCATATTGTCGAGACAACTGCTCCTTAATTCTAGTGTCTGAAGAATAGGCATTAATAACTTCTGGTATTCTTTGTGGCAGAGATTTCAAATCAGTTTTAAAAGCCACTTCTGGAATGCATGTGGCATTTAAATGGAAGTCTACATAGAAAATGAAGTACAAGTGGAAGGAGCTCCCATTGACCACTTGTGTTCAGCAAACTGTTGCATTCTGCTCAAGCAATAGTACCGATTTAGCTATTTAGGGTTGACTTATTGTTCAGAGTTGCGCTAATCCAGTCCAGAGGTGACAAAGTAATAGATCAGTGCTGCTTGGTCTTCATCAGAGATGCATGGATAGGTGTCTGGCCAGCTGTAGGCTGAGTCAGAGAGAAAAGAATATACTTCTACCTACAACTGTTATTTGGATATCCAGAACCAAGAGCCCAAGAGGTGCCCAAACTGCACACCCTTTCACCACTGGGTGTTGATGACATCTTTAGTGATGTGTTGGTATGCTCTGATCTGTGCTATTTTTTGGACTTTGTTTCATATTGGGAACTGCTGTGTTCATATTTGTTAATAAGGAGATTCAGATGTGGGTTATTTCAGTGAGCCACTACAGTCCATAGCAGCTTATAGTATTTCCCAGTGGCTAGCTGTAGATGTTGAATGAAAGAGATGACAGGAGACAGGAGGCAGGTGAAGCACAGCCCCTGGTCCCCGAAGAGGATGTACTTAGAGAGAGAGCCTGCAGCTGAGACTATTTATAAAGATACCCACTAAAGGGAGACACTTTCACTACTTTAGACCAGAAGTAAGCAGCATTTCCTTGATGAGATGGGCACATCTCAAAAAAGATGAGAAACAGACACTTTCCCCTTTATTGAATCATCTTTAAGAGGAAAGACAGAGATGGGGAAGAGAAATCCAACCAGCAAGAAAACCACTGAAGTACTCTAAAGTTCTGTTACGTAAGACCCTGCGGGAGATCAGTCCCTGCCTTGTCTTTTTGTTAGCAGCAGATTCTTTTCTAGAGGAAAAGGTATGTGGCATAGAGATGAAGAACTGTTTTCTTAGCATCTGCAAACTACCTCCATGGCTCAGCCAAGCAGGGTCTTGCTGAAAGCAAGGATGAGATGAACCACAAGAGAGAAGGTAATTTTTGAGAGCAGGGATGTAGACATCTTTAGTGCTTTCTTGTGCTGTTCAGTAATTTCACCAGATGTGGACAGACATCCTAGGAGACCAGGAGCGCTTATTCTTTTTCTAGACTGTTCCTCTCAAAAATGTAAAACAAGTTTGTATTAGTGAAAATGTGTGAATAGCTTTCAAGGGCAGTGCTAGGTGGAGTAGCTTAGCTTGGAAAGGCATACAAATGTGATGAGAGGTTAGTACATGTGTGTTTCAGATGTACTTTAGGATATGAAAAAGCAATTTATTCTATTGAAATGAAAACTTAATCAAAACTAAACTTACAGTAAAGGAAGTTCATGTTTTGCATTAATGCAGTTACAGTGCTTTGTGTCAGCACATAGTATAGGTACCTAATTTTGGAAATGAGATCGTAGGTTCAATAGCCTTAGAGAGGGGTAGGCACAGAACAGGTACAGGGTGATTGGTAGCTGCTCTGCCTTGCCAATGCTTTTGTCCTAGCCCAGAAGGCTTGTTGAACATACAGTGCATTCTCCATAGCAATCTGGTTTTTTTGAGGCTACCAAAAAAGACATCAGTTATGGCTTCTGAAATGTGGTAACTTGCCTACTTGGACTTGGATTTAGACCAAGGGCTCTCTTTGTACCAACTGCTGACCATCCAATACTATGGTAACAACATTGGCTATTTCTGTCTTGGACTTGTTTTGTTGTTGTATAAAGGTTCTGTCTCATAAATAGTTAGTCTTACCACCAACCTTAAAAGCTGTAAAGGTTAAAACTAAAGAACTTGTCATTTGCTTGCTGAATATGTGTATTTTGACTAATCCGCTTTAAATTCCCTAGGTTTCAGTTGTGTGTCAGAATCATTCTGAGTTCTTTGCAAGGTGTGTTTCTTTAATACACTTGGGGTTTTTTTCTTTTTAATACAGGACAGTATTTCAAATGTAGTGTTACCTTCTCTAACGTTAGGAGAACTTATACAAAAGGCTAGGATGAAGTATGACAAAATACAACCATTCTGTTTCTTCTGCAGATGTAGGTGCCAGGAACTACAGGCATCTCTGTGCTGTTTATTACAATAAGAACCCTGGGTTTGAAGTTATCCATGGGTTCCTGGACAGAGTAATGCAGCTGCTGGATGTGCCACCAAACAAAGAGAATGGGTACTTAATCAAGGCAACTGAAGGTAAGAGGCACAACAGTGAAACATGGAGGGGCAGATTAATAATTCTCATCCTGTTACTGTGCAGGATGGACTTCATATTGTCATTAACTGTAGGCAATATGCTGTAAGAGTTTGCTTTGAATGTGTACCTGCTTTCTGCAAAACACTGACACGGTACAGAATCTGGGTGATGATCTAAATAGATTTGGACACAAATCTCTGGGGACCTTCTCTTTGCCTCTGTTCCCACATGGGACCCACTTCCACACTGCACCTAGTTCATCGTAAATGCTCCTAGTTCATGCATTTTCGGAACTAGGAAATCTGCACTGGTCAAGATCCCTGAACACCGTTTAGTTGCATGTAGCATGTGGTTTCAAATCTCCCTGCATTATGAAATGGAAACCTCTATTTCTGCATAGATCCATAGCCTTGTATCATGTCGCCCTGGCATATACAATGGAAGGGTTTCCCAAAGCTTTCAGAAAGCAACTCTAAATGTTGAAAATTTGTCATTGTACTCTGACACTCCATTTTTCCCCCTCACTCCCACCAGCTCTGTTAGTGAAGGAGCTGGGTATCTGATGAGCTCATTCTCATTCTACCCAGCTCCCAGAATCTTCTAGCATCCTTTTCCCTTTTAGGTTGGCCTTTGGTAACATTGAGGAGTTTATTTTTGGTATTGAGAATCTTTAGTTTATAGAATATACTAAAATACCTATCCATAAGTATATCTCTTAAGGAGAAGTTTATCTAAAGCCTTCTTGTGATCATTCCCATCAGACTTTTACAACCGGGGAGGGGGAGACGTAGTTTAATTAGTTAGGCAAACAGAGATTTATCCTGTATTTCATAATTAATTTTGAATTGCTCAGCTGTAGTAAGACAATCTCTGTACCTTAAATAACCTCACTAAAATTGAAGATGGTATCTGTGTACTGCATTTTCTTGATTTTTTTGGACAAAATTGTGTTGAACAAAATTCTCATTAAATCCCAAGAATAGAAGTGAAGCTGAGACACTCAAGGGGACTACAGTATTACAAAGTGAATTGCCTCTTGGCTGGCAACCTGCATTAACACTGTCCCATGTATGCTTGTTAGCTGGACTAGGCTAAGGGAATAACCCCCAATAAGAGTGAAACTTATCTGCTGTAGTATCTTTCCCGCAAGAGTTGAAATTTGCTTTTCTCCTTTCTCTTGACTAGGAAATTTTATCTGGAGCTTTATGTTGTAGAATTGCCAATTTATAATTATGATCACTTTTTCCCCACTGCTGAGGGTTTCCCATATCAGCTAGTGGCAAGGTGTATTTTTGTCGGTGGGGTAGGGGAGTTTAAAAGGCTTAAAAATCCAACAATCCTGGTAATTCTTCAGGTCACTGCAGAAGCAAAAACTAGTTATTCCAATAAGAGGACAGGTCTATGTAAGAGAAGAATAAACACACAACTAATCTATTCTGTTACTTAAAATAATGACATAGTCAATACAATATAGGAATGCAGGACTCTGGGGATAGCAGCTGCATTTTTACCTACTTGTCATTCATTGCAATACAAGTATGAGAGAGAAATTATGACTTCAACTCTTCTGCTCAAGAAAAAAGCCTGAGCAGTGCATTTACTGGAACTAATGACCCTGACACAGCATCACTGACAGCTCAGAGAGCATGAATGTGCTCAGAGCTCTAAAGTACTCACTTTAAATATAGACTAATTTTTTAGCAGTGTTGCTGGCTTATTGAGCATGTGCTCTCCTCCCGCTTACCTTGAATAAGCACATACGTGCCCCTGATTTTAATGCAGTTTTTCTGCTCTTTACTAGGTAATATCCGTAGTATTTTATTCAGACTTTTAAAATATCTGCCAGCAGGAATACTACAAGAGACAATAAGAACTCACTGTTGGCCAGTAAAATGTAATAATAGAAATAGGATTCTCACAAAGCATTTGTAGGCGGGAATATTCGAAGGAGCCTGGAAGCGAGGTACTCGGCTCCCATTGAAATTCAGTGAGAGTTGATTTTCATTCCCTCAGGTTCTTTTTAAAACCACTAAATGAATTGCTTTTAAAATAGACATGTTACTTAAAGGGTTTTTTATGCTGAAACTTTTATAAATGCCTTGTTCCATACTGCAATCATCACCCTAGTTTCTGAACGTCTTACAAAGAACAAGAAAAAAAATCACAAAGATTCCTAATACATTGTAGGGTTCATTTCTTGATACTGATGCTGTTTAGTATTCCAGGTGTCTTGGCACTTAAAAAACCAAACGAAAAAAAAAACCCCTGCTTCCCCATAATATTACTC